GAATACATCACTCGATTGGGTATTAATCGCACCGAAAGTCACAATCGGTTTGAATCGGAAATAATTGTAAACAAGTTTTGCGCCAAATATACGATTAGACAACAGTTTGAGATGTTTTACAATTATAACAAAATTTTTAAATATTCTTATGTATCGGCGCCTAAAGTATTATTGGATAAAAGCAATAAAACATACCGTAATTCATTTATAAAATCCAGTAAATTGAGCAAGATCAGGCCTGCAATAGACTACTCAAGGTGAATCTCTCTCTCTCTCTCTCTCTAATATTAATGTTTCATTTATAGCATGTGTTTCACATTTCTGTCTCAATTCAATGGAGAATCGTATAAATATTTTGTGATCAAAAACAACCTCCAGTTTCGCGATTATCTAATCGACATGTTTTACGCCAAACTAATGCCCAGATATAACATCCGGGTCAGAGTGGCTGTACATCACAGGAATCAGCCAATCACAGACGTCAAGAAGTATCAGTTTGTTCAGTACCCAATTTCTCCGAAGATAATCACTGAGTATTACTTACAATACAGACGTGTTATCACTAAATCATTACCAAAACCATACGATACTAATTGTTTTGACTATAAACTTATAGGCTATAAATCGCACTCCCATTGCATTGCCAAATGTAGAATTGAGGGCTTTGTTAGTAAAAACAAGGTCTATTTACCGGGAAATTATCTCCAGTATAACCAGTCCGTGGATCTTAAGTTAATTGATACCGAGAAATACTATTCAAAAAATTTGGATTTTGATTTAAAACTTGGTAAACAATGTAAACGTAGGTGCCGTATGCGTTTTGAATGTTTCCAGATCGATTATAGTTTACAGCTAAATCGGGTATATGCTATCCCAAACGCATCTTATATCATGCTATTTGTGCCCAACTATCCGGACGTACTGTATATACACTCGCCTAAGATATTGTTTGAAGAGTTTGTCTCATATATAGCCTCTTATATCGGTTTATGGTTTGGTTACTCTGTTATAATGTTCTCAAATGCTATACACATTTGCTATCAATTTATTTACCATAAGTTAATTTTTTATCGCATGAAATTTACCCGCAATTTCAGATTGTTTAAAATACGCAATATAAGTATTGTCAATAAAAATAAAATTTATAGTTATAGGAAACAACAGTTAAAAGTTGCGCCCAATTTAATAAGGATTTAATTTTATAAATCAAATTATAAATTATAATTTTCATGCATATAATTTAACAAAAAATTAATAAGTTAACTTTATAAATTGCCATAATTATTAAACTAAATTATTGATTGCTCATGTTTAATTACATTTTAATTTTTAAAATATATTGTTTGTTAAATTTTTTATTTATGAATAATATTACTACAACTACATAATACAACTGTACATAATAACTGTATATGTTAACATAAATTAATACTATTAAAATATTACCAAATTCCTTAAACAAAATGCAAATACATGATTAAATTTTCTAATAGTATTTATTTTTTAGAATAAACCATCTGTTAAATAAATGTTGATGCTAAAACTCAAATAAAATTAAAATTTAATTTTTATACTAAACATCCGATTACGTACGTGTTCATTATGTTGGATGATATTTAGTGTATATAAATATTGGTTTAATATTGCAGTCATATTATTAATTGCCCAAATTACTACTATTACAACATCGGGAAACGATATTATAAATCATGAAATTGATCTTGGTATTAAGCGTAGCGTTTGCTGTAATCATGGTATTTGATGTGATATATTGTCTGCCCGAGTCATCGGACACAGCGAAGCGTTACCACATTGTGGAAGATTATAAACGCGATGCCGTGTCCTCTATGAGTATGTATTAACATATTTATTAAATTATCAATTTCTAAATAATGGTTATTATATTGGTTGTGCAATTTTTAAACTATTCTACTTAAATAATAATCATAAACCATTTATATAACAATTATTAAAAAATATACCCTGGTGTTATTTATTAATTAAGGTGACATTGAAAAACGTAATGGTTTCCAGCACTGGGATGATGCACATTATGCAAAACGAGAGGGCGGCGAGGTGGATAGAAGGGATACAGATCCTAGGTATTAATCCTACAAGCTTAATCTGAAAAATTAATTTCCCATTCGTACTTAGAATAATAGTAATCTAATTATTAAAATATGTTAATTTAAATTTTTAAATATAAAATGAAACTTTAAATTATCAAATAAATTAAATTAAACATCCAGATGCATTTAAAAATAACGAATTATGTAAAAATTAAGATATTTAATAAATTAAAATTTGCAAAAAATTAATTAATTAATTTAATAAATTACCATAATTAGTAAACTATACGTTAAAACAGCAAAATCTACCCCAATCATTTATGCTACATGAGTATGTAGTAAAAATTCATTATATTAAAAATATTAACAAATGGGTAAGTATTATATAGGTGGATTCATCATGCTGTTATTTCTTAATTAAGATGAAATTGAAAACATAATGGTTTCTAGCTATGGGATGATGCAAATTATGTTAAACGAAAGAGCACCAGGGCAAAAAATTTGGTTATGGATATACCTTATAAACCCTACAAATAGTTTGACCAACATCCATTTTGGACAAAGAGAATATTACACAGGGTTTTAGAGGACAATTACGATAAGAATATGTTACCATAACAAAATACTGTTAAAACATTACCAAATTCCTTAAACAAAATGCAAACAAAATGCAAATACCTGGTTAAATTTTGTAATAATATTTGTTTTTTACAAGAATCCTTATGTTAAATAACTGTTGAAGCTACAATTCAAATTAAATTAAAAATTTAATTTTTATACTAAAACATGCAATTAAATAAATTTACATGTTCATTATGTCGGATGATATTTAGTGTATATAAACGTTGGTTTAATATTGCAGTCATATTATTAATTGTCCAAGTTACTACTTTTACAGTTCACTAAAACAATATTATAAATGATGAAAATGATCCTGGTATTAAGCGTTGCTTGCGCTGTAATCATGGTGTTTGATGTGGGCAATTGTCTGCCATCGGGCACAATAAAGCGTGATTCAAACGAGCATGGTGCAAAACGCGAGGCTGTCTCCTCTATGAGTATGTATTAAAATATTTTTTAAATTAACATTTTCTACATAATGGTCATTATATTGTTTGTACAATTTTTAAACTATTCTAAACTATTCTTTACTTATATGATAATCATAAACCATTTATATTACAATTATTAATAAAGGTAACATTGAAAAACGTAATGGTTTTCAGCAATTGGATGATGCGCATTATGCCAAACGAGGGAACACCAAGTATAATTATTAATAATTCTCCCGAATTGATTTAATGTTAGCGATAGGTAAAATAATTGTGCGTATTTATTACATTACATAAATACATAATTTTACTGTTATATTGTAGTTATATTTGAAATTTATAAAAATATCAAAGTTAGAAGTTTTATAATGTATAAAATATGCATAATAAATACAATGTTTATAATTAATGTTAAGTTAGATAGGACTTATCATTGGTTAGCTAATAATTAATGGTTGACTGTGTAATATGTGTATTAATTTTATGTTGAATGATATTAACGGCGCCTAAAAGCGGCCCAACACTCGGCGCCCGAGTCCGGCGCCGCACTCCTTGCCGGCGGTAGTGATAGAAATACTGCCAAACATTTAAAGTCCGAATAATTGTAAATTAAGTTTAGGTTTTAATTGAAATAAGTTTTAATTTTTGAATTTGTTTATTATTGAAAACAACTGATAGTTTAGTTTATATATTGATATTTAGTTTTGTCTGTATTTATTTATTACCATGATTACAATTGATAAATACATTATCCATTTTATAATTTAATTATATGATTAAAATTGTAATAATATTTGATATAAAAATGAAATGTTTGTTATATATAAACGGATTTAATAATTATTATTACAAAAGTTGTATGTATTTTAATTATAAGTGCAATCCTTGGGTTGTTTTTTGCATTAAGTTTTAATTTAGTTTTTTAATTATTATTAATTTTGTCCACATTTTTGTTTTTGTATCAAAAAAATAGTTATTTTCTATATATTTCTAAAAAATTTATTTATCAAAATTGGGATCAAAACCGATGTCACTGGGGGTGCGGCTTAGTCGCGAGTGTCGGCCGGATTCCAGGTAGGCTGACCATACAATTTTAGCCAAAGGGAGGACAAAATGAGAAAATCTCCAAATCTGGGGAGGACATGGGGAGGACGCTATGTTTTAGTGTATAAAATTATAGTTATACTATTACTACTGCTATATTATAGCACTTAATAGAAAAATGAATGTTATTTAATCATTTGTATTGCAAATATTTAAATAATTACTAAAATTATCTCGAGAGGACGGTGCCAGAAATGGTCCAGGGGAGGACTGTCCTCCCGGGGGGAGGACGTTTGGTCA